TACGTTGGGCGTAACTTTAATTTTTATTTCGGGTTCCGTCGGACGTAACGTTAGACACTGCGTTACACTTAAGAAAAATAGGGGCTGATGGTTCATCATATAAACCAACCATTTGTGTTTAATTAAAGTGAATCACTGGCCTAAAAAAATACTGCTGTCCTATAGGAATGTAGCGCTTCAGATAAATTTGTTAATTTTTGCTTTTAGTCTCTGCCCCACCAGATACAACATCTGGCCTAAAGCAGTGTTCCGGATCTCCTTCCAAGACCTCAGGCGGGTCGTCAATCAATCCAGGAGGCGGCGGCGTCTCATGGGCGTGTTGCTGGTGCTTCTTACTGGATGGTGCTACCGAGGGAAAAGTGGCCGTGCTTGGGAAAGGCAAGTATGGCCGCCGTAAGTATAGATATTGTTTTTACCTTTGCTCGAACCCACCTTTAAGAAATGCACAGTTCGCATGTGTGCATCTCTCAATGCTTCTACAGTCGGCTGTTAATATTTGGAGTGCTCCAACTCTGTCAGCGCTAGTTTCTCTAGATTATGCAAATGGGATGCAACACTAAACCACATATGCTCTCGCAACAAACAGTGCTCTGCTGAAGCACGCACTGTGGAATCTACTCTGGCTTTATAATGCAGCACAAAATAGTTGACGCCAAGTATAGCTACTTTTGTGACTCCGTTTTACCAAAAGCTCTGCCGAAATAAACTTGCCACCTTATAGGTAGTGCAAAAGACCCTCGCGTGCCTAACCTGGAGAAGGGCATTTTTTTCATAGGTCAATTTTTTCTTAAACCAATACCTTCAGCCTCCTTGAAATGTTAACATCATGTGACACTCAAAAGAACAGTAAACCCCTTAATGTTGGCGAACCTTTAATTTTCGCGGCCTTTAATTTTGCGGAATTCAGTGACTGCGATTTTGTCCTCTGTGACCGATTCGAGAAGAAATAGGGGCCACCAAGATAAGGGGTTTTACTGTCCATCGGAGGAGAGAGGAAGTCACCTTTGTTTGTATGCAAGAGTAAAACCAACAACAACAATCATGGTGCCGACACTTTGTGAGCCTATCTGTGTCTATTGAATGATATCAATTTTGTTTTTGTTCGTTAAAAATTGTTGCCTGTCCACTGTGGGATGTCGTCTTCAACACGAGCAGTGGTTTTCCTCTGAAGCAGGCAGCATGGACGCGTGCCGCAGCACAACATAGTTTATTTGCAGGTGGTACCGCAGTTTGAAGGATGGTTCGCACAATATGGGGGAATCGCAATTCAATGTTCTACCTCGGGCGTAGACAAGATTTGCTCATTCTAAATCATTTTGTCTACAAATCGGGAACTTGCAACGAATGTACCCGCATGGTTGGAAGGGCCAGACAAGCCTTGCGAGCGCTTCGTTTTCTAGCCTCTCAGTCCTGAACCTACTCACGCACCACATGTGTAGATGTTCCGGTACGTGGGAGCACTTATTTGGAAAATGGTGAATGGCAACTGTTGTTATCTTTAAGGTGGACTGCATATTTGCAGTACTTTTCCTCACTTAAAAATATGTCTTACTAAAAATATGTAGTATAGCCGATGACAAAAAGAGAATGGCTGGGCGTCCTCCAGCACATGCTTGTGCTTTTCACCCCGCTTTAGACAGATGTGCTCGCTCCAGGCTCATCAGGCGCTGAAACGTCATCGAAGGTAGCAGACGGGCTGGAGGTCGAACAACGGAGACTTCTCCCTGCCTTTCTGATGGTGTCAGTGAGCATGTACTTCTATACTCTAACTTAGCTTAACCTGCACAGAGCTGAGTAGAATAGGCTTGGCAAGTGCCCTTATTGCATATGCATTTGTACAGCTGAGGCACTTTCTAAATCAAGAACATTGTGTACCTTACCTTCAAAAACACATCATTTTGAGGGTGCAAAAGGAATTCTAAGGCATATTTTTGTTTGTATTGTCCTATTACGCATCGACTCCTTCAACTTAATGCGGAGTCGACCCAGCCTCTTGAAAAATTTAATGCTTGCCAGGTAATTGTTTTGCATTTAGTTGATATATCAGTATTCAGTTAGGTATCCCAAGTCATTAGTCGTTGAGGTGGAGTCTCTCTGTAAGTCAGTCATGTTTAACAGTCATAGAAATGCTTGTCAAATAATGGCACTGTCGAGGACATGTATTCAGCTCGAACAATCGCTGGGCACAAGCTGGTCGTGTGGTTACAGGCAGCAAACATCCCGGTTGGAACGTCCTATTTCGCAATGTAGCTGCAGACTAAATGAGGGCCCCACTCATAAACGTCTATACTTTTAGTCTCTTTAAGCTGGACCACTTTTGAAACTACAAGCCTTTGCAGCAAAAACAGCATGACGCATGATTATAAGCTCGACGTACCATGGCGTCGAACTAGAAGGTCACATGGCTTGCTTTGTGTGATATCGTGCCAAGTGACGTCGTGCGGTGACGCGCAGGACCAGCGACAAGCCGGCGGTGTGATATCGTGCCAAGTGACGTCGTGCGGTGACGTGCAGGACGGGCAGGCGAGCGTGCGCCTTTCCTTCTCTTTCCTTCTCTTAAGCGTCGATAAGCATCGGCGCTGAACTATTTAAGCCGCGCTATCGCTTCAAATAAACCTTGTTGTTGGAGCTGCTGTCTCTGCTTGGTCATTACATTGGCGACGAGGCACGGTCTGGCCCGTGCGGGCCGCTGGAAACAGGCGTGATGGCGTTGGGTGGCCGCATTTCGGAGTTTGACGTTCATGGAAATTCGACATGGGAAGAATACGTCGAGCGCATCGAACTGTACTGTGCCGTCAACAAGGTGTTGGAGGCCGTGGACAAGAGGGCGGTGCTGCTGAGTTGCTGCGGGCAAGAAGCCTACTCCCTGATATCGACGCTCGTCAAGCCCCTACGACCGCCGAACGTGGAATACCAGGTCCTCATCGACACCGTACAGAACCACATTCAGCCAAAGCCGTCCGAGCTGTATTCGAGGTACGTGTTTTCGAAACGGGACCAGGAATTTGGCGAGTCTGTGGCCGACTACGTCACTGCGTTGCGAAGGTTAGCTGGAAACTGTGGGTTCGGCGGGGATAAGTTTCCGCTTACTGAAATGCTGCGCGACCGGCTGGTTTTCGGAATAGCCGACGGAGTCGCACAACAACGGCTCCTGGCAGAAAAGAAACTGACTTTCGAAGCAGCGTACGATCTCGCAGTCACGGCAGAGACTACAGCTAAGCAGCAACAAGCTATAAGCGAAAGACGACGAGAAGCGGAAGCTCAGCTAGAAATGACCGCGGAAGTAGGCTCGCGAGCTAAAGTGCCGAACTCGGAAAACCACGGAAGCCAACGGGTCGCGGGGACCTGGGAGCAAGGTGAGCGGCGTTGCTTTCGGTGTTTAGGCAACCACGCAGCTGTGCGGTGCAGGTTCAAAAATGCAAAGTGCTTCAAGTGTTCAGGAAAAGGACACATAGAAAGAGCGTGCAAAGCAAATAAGACGCAAGCACAGGATCAGCTTGCTCAGACTACGGGTGACACAGGAACCGAGTACGACAGCCTATTCAGCATCGGCCAAGTAGCAAGCGCTGTACCGAAGTACGTAGTTGAGGTCGAGATTGGCGGAGAGAAGGTGAAAATGGAAGTGGATTCTGGGGCTGCGCGATCTATTATCAGCCAGAGGGAGTTTAAAAAACTAGGGGTGTCAAAGCGGGGAAAACTGGAAGAGCCAGACACGCAGTTGGTCACCTGGACGAAAGAGGGTATCGAGATTTTGGGAAAAGCCGTGCTGCCAGTGAAGTTCAAGGGTCAAAATTCCGAGTTGCCGCTGCTGGTGGTCAAGAACGACGGGAACACTTTGCTTGGCCGCGATTGGTTCGGACCTTTGAAGATAGAAGTAATGGGTCTTCATTCCGTCAGCAGGAGCCGAGAGATTTTTGCTGCCCGATTTCCGCAGGTGTTCAGCGGGTCTCTGCCTGGCGCGTTTTTACCGCCCATTCACATCGAGCTGAAGGACGGCGCCCTGCCAAAGTTCCTGAAATGCCGGAACATTCCTTTTGCGCTGAAAGAAGATGTTCTGACCGAGCTCAATAGGCTTGTGCAGTTAGGAATATTGGAGCCAACCCAATACTCCGAATGGGCAACACCCATTGTTGTGGTGCGAAAAAAGGATGGCTCGCTTAGAATCTGCGGAGACTATAGAAGCACAGTTAACCAGGCAGTAAAGAGCAATGTGTATCCTCTACCCACCAGCAAGGAGCTTTTCGCTAAGCTAGGAAAGGGGCGGTTCTTCTCGAAGCTTGATCTGGCACAGGCGTACCAGCAGCTTGTGGTCGACGATACAACTGCCGAACTGCTCACGATAAACACCGTACAAGGGCTCTACAAAGTTCGCCGCCTACCGTACGGCGTATCTGTGGCACCAGGACTGTTTCAAAGGGCAATGGACACTATCCTTGCTGGGCTACCTAAAATAGCTGTGTACCTGGACGATATCCTGGTGGTTAGCGAAACGGCCAAGGAGCATGAACGCATGCTCACGGATGTATTCGAACGCCTAGATAAGGCTGGACTCAGAGTGCAAGCAAACAAATGCGAGTTGTCTCAGGAAAGCCTCGAGTTCCTGGGTCATCGCATCGATAAGTGTGGCATCTACCCTTCCGAGGTGAAAGTCGAGGCCATACATAAAGCCCCGGCCCCAACTAACAAGAAGGAACTCCAGTCCTTCTTGGGTATGGTGAATTTTTACAACATTTTTTTGCGGGGCAGATCCGAAATAGCCGAGAAGCTGCACCGTTTACTTGATGACAATGCTACCTGGAAATGGGACGAAGAGCACCAACGGGCGTTTGAAGGCTTAAAAAAATTGTTAACATCGCAGTCCTTGCTTGTTCATTTTAACGAAAGTGCTCCGTTGATACTCTCCTGTGATGCGTCTCCGGTGGATGTGGGTGCTGTACTCGCTCACTGTGACGAGACTGCAAAGGAGCAACCCATTGCCTATGCGTCAAGGACGTTAACAAAGGCTGAGCGGAATTATGCTCAAATAGACCGAGAAGCATTAGCCGTGGTGTTTGGAGTGCGTCACTTTCATCAGTACCTAGCCGGGCGAAAATTTGTTATTCTTACGGACCACAAACCGCTGCTAGGAATATTTCGGCGAGAGAAACAAATACCGGATGTTCTGTCACCACGCATGCTACGATGGAGCCTAATGCTGTCGGCCTACGAATACCAGCTTGACTACCGCAAAACTCAGGACCATGCGAACGCTGATTGCTTGAGCAGGCTTCCGGTTCCAGCATTTCGGTTGGAAGCAGAAACGCCGGGCGACGTATTGCTTTTCGAAGCCGCTGAGTACCCGCCAGTCACCGCCGCAGAAGTTGCTGGCTGCACGTCGCAAGACAGTCGGCTATCGGAAGTAAGGAAATGGATCATCGACGGCTGGCCAAAAGAAGGGGTACCGAAAGACTACGGTGCGTACGAGATAAGGCAGAACGAACTGTCCGTGCATCGTGACTGTGTGGTTTGGGGAAACCGCGTGGTAATCCCTGAGGTGCTGCAAAAACGTGTCCTCATCTTGATACATGCTAATCACCCGGGAGTGACGGCAATGAAAGCTATCGCGAGGTCCTACGTTTGGTGGCCGAAGATGGATGCGCAGATCGAAGAATTTGTGCGGCACTGCAAGGCGTGCCAGGAAAACCGGCAAAGTGAGCCGAAAGCGCCTACGCATTTCTGGACGAAACCGGAGCGAGCATGGAGCCGAGTGCATATCGATTTTGCGGGTCCTGTCGATGGTGCGGTTTTCCTAGTCGCAGTTGATGCTTTCTCAAACTGGGCGGAGGTGGAAATAATGACGTCAATGCACTCATCTGCAGTGATCGAGCGGCTGCGTAAGATGTTTGCAACATACGGACTGCCAGATTTGATTGTTTCAGATAATGGCACGGCGTTTACCAGCCGGGACATGCAGTCCTTTTTGAAGTTGAACGGCATTGAGTACATGTATACTGCTCCCTACCACCCTGCGAGTAATGGGAGAGCAGAACGCATGGTTCGGGAGCTAAAGTGTGCACTGAGAAAGCAGAGGCAAGGCTCTCTAGCGTGCAAGGTGTCTCGCTTCTTGTTCAAGCAACATTCCACGCCGCACTCGGAATCCGGCAAGACCCCAGCTGAGCTTATGCTGGGCAGGAGCCTGCGCTCGGGCCTGTCAAAACTTCACCCCGATGCGATGGACGTGGAGTGCAAACGGCAGCCTCCAGAACAAAGCTTTCAGTGCGGTGACTCTGTCTACGCAAGGAATTTTCGCCAAGGTCCGAAGTGGTTGGCTGCTCGTGTGCTACGGCGTCGGGGTCACGTCATGTACGAGGTCCAGACATCCGACGGGAGTATCCATCGACGCCACCGGAACCACGTGCGAAGGGCCTGGGAACCAACAACTCCAACCGGCGGGACAACAGCTTCGTTTGCCCTTCCGGGAACGCCCGGTTCGGAGCCTGGCCCTCTGGAGGCCGGGGTTTCCCTTCCGGGCCCGTCAAGTCTGGGGGCGAGGTCACCTGCGGTCGAGACTCCCGTATTGAGGCGTTCTTCCCGCCAGCGTCGCCCGGTGCACCGATACGGCATAGATGACTAGGGGGGAGGGATGTGATATCGTGCCAAGTGACGTCGTGCGGTGACGCGCAGGACCAGCGATAAGCCGGCGGTGTGATATCGTGCCAAGTGACGTCGTGCGGTGACGTGCAGGACGGGCAGGCGAGCGTGCGCCTTTCCTTCTCTTTCCTTCTCTTAAGCGTCGATAAGCATCGGCGCTGAACTATTTAAGCCGCGCTATCGCTTCAAATAAACCTTCTTGTTGTTGGAGCTGCTGTCTCTGCTTGGTCATTACACTTTGTGCACTGAATTTGCAAGGATGGCTTGAGGCTTCTGTCGTGGTTAACTTTAAGCTGAGATAGTTTAAAATAATGCTCTCAGTTTTTAGTGTTGCCCGGCATGGTTAACAAGTTGGTGATATAGCGCTGCATTGAAAAGTCTGTGCATTCATGACTGTATCACCTTATGAATGCAAGCTACCTATTAAACTCTTCGTTTTTCAGAGAAATGAAATGCACTTTGCTTCCAATTGCACCCGCTTCTGTAACTTCATGGTATGAAGCACCTTATGGCTGCAAGCTCTGACCGATCTTGTTCTGTGGTCTGCGCAGGCCCATATGAGGGAGTCACTTCGAGAGCCTCACCAGAGTTTCCTGCCCGTGGTCGTTCTAAATGTTTTTGTTGTAGGTATGCATCCTTTCTGTCTAATTCCCTTAATTGTACTCAAACGTCTTCTTTTCATTGTCGCCGATTTGCCTCAAAATTGGTTAAGCACACAAATGCACGCTGTACAACTATATTGTACATATTTTTTCCAAGGTAACTTTTCTTTGCCAAAGTTAGATTTTTTTATGAAGGTTAGTCTTTTTTTTTATTTTCAAATTTATGTGAGTTTCCATGGGCAACACTAAAACGTTATGCCAGAAGCAAGGACAAGTTCACTGCTCTAATTTGTTCTCAACTGATTGCAAGAAATTTCGTTAATGTCGTGAAACCTCCTTCCAGCGCTTGCTTTGCAGCATAAAAAAAAAATTATACATAGGACATACTCTGTTTCTTAAACTGCTTGCTCATTCTGCAGGTCTGCCTGCCATAGATGTCGTGCTACTGGAGAGCAGGCGAATTCGAATGCTGGTTTTGCCATTGCTTTTTTTTTTTTTTTTTAGACGTTGTCTTAGTAGTTCTTGTAAATTTGGAGATTTTCCTAAAAAGCAAGCCGGGAAGAATATTTAGTTTAGTTAGGAAGCTGAAAATAATGATTTAGTACCCCTTTGTCACTAAAATAGATACTGTGTGCCGCTGTTAGTGTCAAGCCGAGATCCACGCTTTTTTGGCATTTTGCTCAGAGTGGTACCCATTCTTATTCGTTCGCCTCTTGGTGTGCCAACTAAACTCTTTGTATACAGACACCTGCCCCCTGCTGGTACACTCTACCCTCATGTTCAGCGAGTGTATGAACCGGAGTTGTATCCACAGTCGACACTCGCTGAGCACGAGGGTAGGAAAATCTTTCCATTGCAGCAGAGCCATATATGGGGAGAGTCTGGCAGTCTATGATTTCGCTGCCGTAACGTCTCCCTTCTGAGTGAGCTGATCAGCCCGCGGCACAGAGCAAGAGGCGTGAGCGCATGCGCGTGAACTCTAGGCTGCTCCCAGCTGAGCGGGGAGGGCCGCCATTTTCATTCATTCGCCCGGCATGGGATCGATATTCAAATTTCGGTTTTTTCCTTTTATTTGGCAGGCTCTGGCAATAAAATGATATAGTGTTATTCCTCGGTGGCTTAAAAACCTAAAGAAAGAAGTTCCTCGATGTTTGAACGCACTTTTATTTAGGCAAAAAAAATAAATAAGCCCGTAGCAGACGACACGTAGCCTCAACAGTGCTCCGTGCAGACAGCTTTGCGTCAAAATGGTGGTCGTCTCCTCTTTGTTTCTCTGCTGCCTTCTCTCTCCCTCCTTCGGCGTTCTCCTCCCTTTCCTCCTCTCCGGCGCCTTCGTTGCCACACCCGCTGGCTAAACTCTCCCACTATACGGCTTTGCATTGCAGTAGTAGTTTTATTTGTAGTCTTCACAGTTGAATGTGAATATTTGACAGAAGTCTCAGGTTGGGGCGAAAGGGGGTTAAATGAATGCATTTGATCATTCACCTAAATTCGGTACCTATCATTTTAACGCCTACGTAGCTTTGTCCTGGGGGGTGACTATGACTAAAATAAGAGGATCTATGTGCTGATCACGAAAGAATATGCTAGCCATTCTAATGTAGCTCTGCCAAGTACTTGATTGTGATTTGTTTTTATTTTCAGCTACTTGGGTGCCTCAAGATCTGGAGATCCTAGTGGCCACAAGCTTGGACTCAATCTTTTTCTGTGGTCTGGGCAGGACCATGGGGGAGGTAATCCCAGCAACAAGAGCATCGCAGTATCTCCCTGGCTGTGACTTTCGGTCTGCGTCACGACAGGGGAGTCCTCGTGCCACCAGGTGTTAGGTATGCCACTTGAAATAAGCATTTTTCTTACCTATTATTAGAACAGCAAAAGCACTACTAAGCCTAAAATGAAAAAAAAAACATATTCAAATCTTGGGTTGGATGAAATTCCAATTACAAAAAGGAGTATGCAGACATGATTAACATGTGAACTTAAAGCCCGCGGATGTAGGTTCGACGGTGTCACAGAAATAACTTCCCGCAGATCGCCTTGCTCGTGCTATACCCAAACAAATTCTTAAAATAATCATTGTGTTTCGTTGGTGTCATCAATCTTATGTCCCTACCACACTCACCAGTCGGGACATGTGAAATATAAAAAAAACAGGAACTTGCACATTGTCAACTCTGCAAAGATTTATATAGTAAACAGAGCATAGCACGTTCAGCTTAAGAAAAAAATTCAGTGCAGGCCTATATTCATGGTTCACATATGTGTAATTGCTCTTTATAATGAAGTGAAAACTGCTTAAGTTGTGGCCCACTACAGGCTTTCTATTAGTGTTAAAAAGTGCGGTAGAAAATATGATTGCGCTTGGAAGACGGGGACATAGGAAGGACAGACACAACAGAGCGCTAACTTTCAACTGATTTAATTCAAGAACCTCGGCGTAGAAACGGACTGTGTCACCGCACCACATCTCAACCAATCCGTGGCCCTGCCATGGACCGCAAGTACGCCAAATCCTTATCCGCCAAGTCAATTGACGCCACACTGACACAACTTGTGCCGGAACTATTTATAGTGTCAGCCTCCATAATCTCGCTAACAGTCCTATCTTTGTGCCTCTCAAGAACAATAGACGAAACAAATAATGGTTTGCACCCGCAGTCATGACAGTGACACGACAGATCATGACTGCGAGTGCAAACCATTATTTGCTCAGTCTACTGTTCTTGCTAGGCACAAAGATATGACTGTTAGAGAGATTATGGAGGCTGATGCTATAAATAGTTCCGGCACGTGTTGTGTCAGTGTGGCGTCAATTGACTTGGCGGATAAGGAGTTGGCGTACTTGCGGTCCGTGGCAGGGCCACGGATTGGTTGAGATGTGGTGCGGTGACGCAGTGTGTTTCTACGCCGAGGTTCTTGAATTAAATCAGTTGAAAGTTAGCACTCTGTGGTGTCTGTCCTTCCTATGTCCCCGTCTTCAAAGCACAATCATGTTTTCTAACGTACCGTACCAACTTGCCCAACAATCAGCACTTGCTAAAAAGTGCTATTGTGTTTTAAGCAGGTCGCACCAAATATTTTCTTGAAATACATAGGTTCATGGAAATTATTATGTAGATGTTGGCAGACAGCCATGGTGAGGCCAATCTTTAATGCCAAGTGGTCCACTTACTCAGAGTTAATTGAGTTTGTAAATATTGTAGGTCGCAAATTAAATTTTTATGGTACGCAATGGGCACAATCATCCGTAATGACTAGCTCTACCTAGGGGAACTTCATATGTTTACTACGGCAAGATGGTTTCGAAAAACAAAGTATTTCGTTTATTCAACTCCTGCACTAACCTTGTCTTTAGAAACTTTTTATATTCTTTGCGATGCTGAGATAAGATTCTGGAAATAGTTTTTCTAGGACTACTCTAGATATTTCCAGTTCATCATTTTTCTCGCAAAGCATTCGAGAGAGCCAAACCCTGTAATGTACGGAGGGAACTCACAGAATGATGCGACTGACAGTTTGGAACATTCGGCACTGTAACAGTAATAATGACATGTCACTTATGTAATGTTCATTATCGCAGATCAAACTGCTTTTTCCGTCTACACTCATTTTCAATAGACTCATTCAGCGAACTCCCACCTGAGACTGCAGCGCTGGGTTCTGCAAAGTAATTTGAATGAATATAGATGCAACAGGTTTCTTTGAGCGTGCGTCTAACACATATTCTTCATATTGAATCTGCTAACTGTATTCATGTCCATGTCCATAATTCCACATTCTAGCTTATTTTTATTTTGACATTTGAGTTTTCTTCAGTACTTTTCTCAACATCTGTGCTTGCTGAGCCGTACTCAAGTCCATACATCTTGTCTTTCGCTATTACATTAATATATAAAACTGTTGATGCCGAGTGAGAATTCAAGGTACCGAATCTGTCGTGCGAGCTAAATAAGAACTAATAAAAAGCTCTACAAAGGAAATTTTGTTAAAGGATGCTAGATGGGCATTAGAATAGCACATGCCATGCTAAAAAAAAAATACAAATTCTTGTTAGGTATGTGAGGATGACAGTGCTGTGCTGTTTCTGATGTGTCACAAAAAAAAAAATCAGTGCCATACAGTGTTCCTTATGGAAGTACAAACTGTTGAATTCGAAGCCCAGAAGTTTTATTCAAGAATGTTCCTCAATACAAATGTATTTAGAGATCTGAGCCACTGACTCATACATGACTATGTGGCAAACATTAATTTTCATGTGGATTATAGTTTACAAGGTCTAGTCTGCATTGATTTATTGCATTCATGCTGAAACTGGGAGGGTTTCTCTGGGTATGAATAAAGAGATAAACATTTCTTGAAATCAAAACATTTGAGAACGGACAAAAGGAAGGATCTGAGAACGGTATCTTAGATTCTCTTCTTTTT